ACCCCCTCCCCGCTTCGCCAGGGGAAAGGTGGCATGAATATGTTTTTTTGCAGACGTGAAATGGCGGATTAATTGAATCTGCCGCGCACCTTTGGTCTTGAGCGGCGGCGGGACAGTCCGGCGAGTTTGCGCTAATTGTTGTGCGGCGCACACCAAAAAAAAAACCCAACTGCAAAACTAAACGTAGCCTTCGCATTCCACCATGTCATTCACACTGTGGCGATCCAAACTCCATTAGCTGCTTCACTCGCACCACGACAGGTCTCGGGCTGGCCCTCCTTGCCCACCTTTTCATTTCGTGCGCCGAGAGAGTTCCTAAAACGTCCACTTCACGTCCCCCCCCCCGTCGTGATTAGGAAATAGGGAAAGACTGAATGATTCCGATAGCAACATATATTCTTTATCCTCTCGGAAGATTCACTCAGCGGAGCAAATGTCCTGAGTAGCAGTACAGTACAGGGTTCGAATCGTTTGGGATTTTTCCGTGACAGTTCATTTTTAGTTTATTTTCACTTTTGTTGTTTTTTTTTTTTAATTCACACATTTTCAATTAGTTTTTAGAGCAGGTAAGTTCCTTTTATTCGGGGGTCGGGATTCTCAAAAATGCTTCATTTAGTTTTGTTTTTAATCCACTTTTTTGTGTGTTTTTGTCTTTTTTTTTGTTTAGTTTTAAACACCTGGAGTATTTGTTGGGTGTAAGATGGGGGGGGGGGCTAACAAAGTCTTGAGTAATTGAGCAAAGTAAACTGCAATTCTCAAATGACTGTCTTTGACCTTCTTCTGTACAGACATACGGCAATACTATCCCGTCATTATATAACTACAATTACGGTTTGTTTTTTTTTTTTTTTTTTTTGAAAAGCATTTTTTTTTTGATTTTGTGATTTCAATTTTAGTTGTTATTTTTGTTCGTTTCTACTGACCCTCGTATACTCACAGATATGAAGACGAAAAATATGCTAGCGAGCTAAAGCGGTCTGGCGAACCGACACGGCAGCCATGTTGGCAGGGGCGATGTTCCCCTCAAAGACAACGCACGGACAGCAAACATGAGTTGGGACTCGATCATTTCTCGGTCTTTTTTTTTTTTTTTTTTTTTTTACAAGATTAATTTGCTGGCAACATCAAAACGTGTGCAATGAAGATGTGATTTTGGAAAAGGAAAAAAAAAACCAAACAAACAAAGGTTACCGTATTTCCCGGCTTGTTCTATCATTGTCACGGAGGGATCCAACCAGAGGTCGGGGACAAGCTTTTCTCACAACACCTCCGCACAGCGCTACAAAACGGCCAACTTGGCATGCGAGCATCACGTCGTCGTCGTGGTTTGTCAACGAAATGACCGCAGCTGAATCACTGCCTCCCCCCCACCCCCACCCGCAGCAACACTACCACTCCAAGATCGACGTGCTGATCGACGCCACCTTCCAAGACATGATCTCCGCTCTCGTATCCAAGGTGACGGCACCGCTGGCTGGATGTTACATTGCTCTAAAATCATCAAATGTGCTCTCAGTTTGAATAACTGCTTCAAGTGAAAAATGTTCATGTCAAATTGAAAATCAAAATTGTTGTTTCAGTAAATATTTGCATTTTGCACCAAGAAAACTGATCCACGATTCCATGTTGATGAGAGCATTAAAATGGGAAAAATGGGAGAAAAAGAAATCAGAGGAAATTTAGAAGAGATAAAAATCTGTGATTAATTACGGCTAATTCTGAGTTAACTATGCAATTATACATTTGATCGCGATTAAATCTTTTAATCGTTTGACAACACTGATAGCACTACATAAATATCTTCTGAATATGTGCTGTATACTACATTTTCAAATACATCACGTTCTGAAGTCATGCCTGCGCCTTTCCAAGTGCGCACGTTTCGATTAGGATACGTCTGTCATGTTGACGCGTCGAACTGCACGTATTGATTTTCGTACGTGTGTGTGTGTGTCGTGTAGTTGTGTGCAGTGTTGGACGCGGTTCTGTCCAAGCTGTCGAGATACGACGAAGGAACTTTGTTGTCGTCCATCCTCTCCTTCACGGTCAGCGCGCGCCCGCCCGCTTTGTTATTTCTTCAAGGCCGCAAATGAAATCTTTTCCCGCTCTACTCACTTAACTTTTTTTTTTTTTTGTCTTCCTCTTCTTTCTCCGACCAAGGTGAAAGCAGCTACCAAATACGTGGAAGTTCCCGTAAGTCTTTTTTTCTTTTTCAATTCATCATCCTTCTGTGTGTGTGTGTGGGTGTGGGTGTGTTAGTAGTTAATCGCTGTTTTAAAAAAGCGATAAAGTTTAAAATGAACGAACATATTTTCCAAAAATATGAAAGCGTTTGTTGACGTTTCAGGAAAGTTAGTCGGCGAGGTGATCGGTTCCTGTTCCTGTTAGTTCGGGGCACTCCCAAACGGGTGCCGATGCGCGGAAATGATCCAATTTCTCTAGCCGCTGCTCATTGATCTCTTCGTGACAATTGACTCGAGCGCTTCTCCTCGCCAATGAGATGGACGCTTTCCCGTCTTTGTTTTCGAGCTTTCAGGACAGAATCGAAACGTGCTTCAAAGCCCTTCGTCAAAGTTTACGGTGGGGCGGGGCCCAGCGTTTCCAACCTAACCTGGATTTTGGCATTTGCGTGCAGCATAACAGCCAAGCGCCGCTCCACCGCGTTTGCCTCCACCAACGGACCGGGTTGGGCAGCGCTTTGCGTTTCTCCGCAAGCTAGCTAGCGAACAGTTGGCTCGCTAGTTTGGGAAGGGAGGTAGTTACTTTGGTCGAAAGTCGCTTGGTCATCCCTGCATGTCGGCGAGGGGGGTATGGGGGTGGAATACGATGTTGGATTTGTTTCCAACTCAAAGCGCGACAGTCGATATGAAAGCATTCGACGATGCTCTCGCCACGACATCTGCGCTAATCCGTTTGTTCGCGCCCGGCCGACCGACCGACGAGTGCGCGATTAAGCGTCCGACGCGATGCGAAGGAGCCGTCGGAGCCTTCCTTAATCCGCAGCCCCCGTCCTCCATTTTGTTCTCGGGTTCCCGCGCAGATTTCCTGCCAAATTATAATGTAAGGCGCACCTCGGCCTCCGGCGCCGGCCCGCCCCTTTTGTGCGCCGGCAACCCGAGGCGGCTCGGCTTCCTCGGCAGCTGCCGGGAAGAGGCCGTCGAGGCTCGCAGGTGCGCGGCGGCAAAGCGCGCTTCAAAGGAACTCGCCCGCCGCCTTGAAAAGACTGTCGGCCCACCTTTTGTCCCGCTTCTGCTTCTCTGAGAACGCCGCAAGATTTTTGCGGATTTAACGTCTCGGGTTACACGCGCGCACTCGGCTGCGCGTTATCCTACAATGGCGTCTGCTTTTTTTCCAAGTGTGTCAACGTGTGCGCATTCCGGGCGTTGTGTTTCTTGGACTCACGTTGACGTCTGAACAATGTCATGTCAGCAACCGCCGAATAGTCCGTATTCGTTCCCGCTCGGAACTAGCACCGCCGCAAAACTTTTTCCACGCCATCGAAAGGCCGATGTCAAAAGGCTGACCGGGAAATCAAAAACGAACGATTTCAAATCCAACAAAAATGTGTGGATTTTTCTCTCCGACGAACCGGGAGGCTCTCGTGCTGCGATCCGCCGCGTAGCGAGTTCGAAAGATGCCAAATCAGCGACAAAAGTTTTGGGACACGTTGTTCGTGTCCGATGTCAAAGGTTCTTCGTCCATGACCGAGGGACACTTTTGACAAGTTGCCCGCATTTCTTTACGTTTGTTGACCTCCGCGACCGGCGGCAGACGTCGGCTTGACGGCCATCTTTGCTCCTCCTCCGCCTCGCCTCGCCTTGCCTGCCGTCCGGGTGACGCTTGTGACAGGCGCGCTCCGTCTTCTTTCTTCTTCGGGCTCGGACACCGCTGCGACAGATGCCCCCTGCGGTCCCGTGACCCCACTTTAACCTCTTTTTCCCGCCCGCTGGTCCGTCCGAATTACAAACGCCCGAATGAGTGCTCGCTGCGCGTCGCTCCCTGTTAGAGCCTCTTTTTTCGGAGTCTTCTGTGGCTGCATTTTTTTTTTTTTCTGCTTTTATTTTGGTTTTTTTCTGTGCCACGCAGCCAGAAAAACAACGTGACTTTGCTGTCGGTGTGCTAGATGGGGGTGGAGGGAAGGGGGGGGGGGGCTTAAATCCTTCAATCTGCCTTTTGACTCGACCGCGTCAAGCTAAACGCTTTGCGTGCTTCTCTTGTGGCGGCTTCCTCGTTTAGGGGCTGACGTGTCGCGCGGCGGTGATATACCGATGATGCTATTCCCCCCCC